CTACAACATCTTTTGCTTTCAAGTGAGAGCTGGTGGATTCGGTTGCTCAGCGTGTGAAAACTCGCCTTTCCTTCAAGATGATGTATCGATGTAGTGTGAATTCTACGTGTGCACTGGCCCCCCGCTTCAGACACCTCTTGCCCATAGGTACTTACACACAGGTCTGCCTTCACCTGGTCACTCCCAGAACCACTGGTCTGGGTGACTGGAGAAGTCTCCCCTTTGCCCCAGCTATTTCATGTTTGTAGTTTTGGGGAGGAGGGGGGTGGTATGGGAAGGATTCCAGGACTTCCCCTTTCTTGGGCTCATAGCGAAAGAGAGGAAGACAGTGAGTGTTATGGGGTGAGGCTTACGGTGTGAGTGCTGGAGCGGAGGGGGATGAAGATGGGGAAGTAATGTGCTGTGTTGGCCATTGATTTCTCATGGATTTGTGCACACCCACAAAGCTTTAGAAGGAACGTAGATCTTGGGTCACTCTTAGTGAGAGAGGCATTCACCTCACGCCACCCCCAGCACTGGCACTAGTCAGCTCTGTTGATGGCAGTCTGACCTGAACAGGTAAAGGCTGAGTGGGCCTAGAAATTCAGTTATCCGTCTTGCAGTGGTTCTTCCAAGTCAGGCTTGAATCACATAAACCAGGCAGTGTTGCAGAAGCGTGTATTGCTGCTGTCCAGTATATCTATTCTGTAGCTAAAGAGGGTTTTAATTCTGCCTCCCCCGTGCATTGTCGCATCTAAAATTAGATGGTGAAATCTTTGGGGACAGGGAATAGGTCTTTGTAATGGTCCTAGCACATTTTGGAGCATGGTGTAAATTATCATCTTCCTCTTACTTTATACTATTTTATACTTCCATTTCCATATTAATAAACTCTGCTAGTAGCAGAAAGCCTGTGCTCCGCCTAGATGTAATTGGTAAAGTTATGTGAGTAAAAATAGGGGCTTCTGTTTCCATGTGCTACAATGCTGTTCTTTGTACATGTTCCCCAAATGTTATGCCCAGAACTGCCCACTGGCTGCAGGCACAATCACCTCTTTATTATTCCCTCCTCCTGTCATCAGCTGTTGGATCCGACCTCCCCCGCACGTTTGGACTCCATTCCATCTGGTTTTCACATGGTCCAGAGATGCTGAACCTGGCACTGTGGTGCACGGAATGAGATTTTTAGCTCTTGATTACCGCTGTTTCCTTGTGTTCCACTGACTCAGCAGTCATTCTAGACCTCCGAGTGACTGTCCTGGATAGGGATGTAAAATCCTATTTCATTGGTTAACCAGTTCACTGTGATGTTTAACCAGTTAGCCAGATAACACGGGGCACAGGCAGGGGTGCTCCAGGCCGGCCCTGTCCTTGGCAGGCCCAGGCACCTCCCAGGCAAGGGCTGCTCTGGACAACCAGAGTAGCCGCTTGCCCAAGCAGGGAGCTGTTCCAGCCTCCACCAGTGGATGAACTGGAACCAGTAAGCATCACCTATTAAGGGTGATGCTTACTGGTTAACCTTTCACATTCCTAGTAGGGATATGAGTGGTTAACTGGTAAGCCTCATGCTTAATAGGTGAGGTTTACTGGTTAAGGTTAACCAATGGTGGCGAAGCTGTTTGCCTGCTGTGGTCAGGGGGCTGCTCTAACTCCACGGTGAGCCTGCCACAGACAGGGGCTTCTCCCACCTGCTCCCACCAGTTAACCAATTAGATGGGATTTTACATCCTTAATCCCTAGTCCTAGAAGAGATCATTTGTGTGGGTAGCAAACAGCTGTATGCTGAGATGAGTGTCCATGTGTGTTTAGGGTTCCTGCGCATGCCAGTTGAATTGAGTGAGTGGATGTGTTGACTGGGGGGCATTGTGCTGGGAGGTTTGGGTGCTCAGCTGTGACAGTTGGACCAAGCAATCCACCATCTCTTCTGTCTGCCCCCTACAAACAATGAACTGTGGCTTCCAAAGGAGCTGGTGCATAAGGATGGTAATTAGCTGAAGTACCTTTGATATCCCAAAAGTCTAGCACCTTTGACATAGCATAGATACGTGACATGCTGTAGTTGTACACCGTACAGGTGTCATCCATAAAGACAGGCTGAGATCTTGCATTTGGATGGCAACAGATCATACATCCCAGCATTGATTGAGCAGGGTGATATTTTAAAAGAAAAAGCTTTCATCTGTGTCTGTAGGGGTTTCCATCACCAGGCATACTAAGATTCAGAGTAACAATCCTGTTTTATTATTATTTACCTAGCGTTGGTCAGGTCCTTAATTCAATTAATTTTGGAAACTACAGTGAAACTGTACATGCTTCATTTAAATCATTGCTTTGGGATGGGGATGAGGGGTTCAGTGTGCAGGCTGGCCCAGGGAGAGAGGACAACCCCAACCCCCTCTCACCTCAGCAGTGTGGAGCCAAGTGAGAAGTACCTCTCCATAGCCACTGCAGCTTTTGTGAGCACAGCCAGGGAAGGGTGCATGTCCCCTGGCTGGGACAGGTCTTGGTTCGCCTACCTCAACCGTAGCGAGGAAGGCAGCAAACTGCACTTCCCCCTCGCCAACAATGTCCCCATACAAATCTGGGAGGGGAGAGGGAGCTTCAGACCCCACCTGCCCTAAAGTGTGACTGGAGTGTGGGTAGCTGTGGGCTGGGGCAGGGCAGGTTTATGATCCCAGTTAGCCCCTTTCACCTGCCTGATGACTGTTTCTCTTCTGTATGGCTTTATGAGAAGCAATCCCATTCCAAGCACATCCCATTTTCCTAGCACAGCTAATCTCTTTATCTTACTTTAAGTTACAAGACAAAGCTGCATAACACATTTGGTGGTCCTAGCTCTTACTGTTTAGGAGGAGTTCTTGAACAGACAGGCAAACTCACTCGTAAGTATAGTAGTATAGTGTCATCCGAAGAAGTGGGTTGTACCCACAGAAGCTCATGCTACCATCTACATGCTTTGTTAGGCTTCAAGGTGCTGCCAGGCTATTTGTTGCTTTAAATGTATAATCTTAACTGTGTTTCAGTGGAGTAGAAGATCCTACTGTGACATTACATGCACAAAGCTCAAATGTCTGAAGCAAGGTTGCCTGTGAACCCATTCTCCCCTCCCCCCCAAGAGCGACCCTTTTGGTCCCATCCCTCTAACCTCACGGTGTCCCCATGTTTTCACCCAGCTAGTCCCAGTCTCCACTCCTCAGGCCAGCCAGTCCCTAGTCCAGGGGTGGGGAACCTTTTTTGGGTCAGAGGCCCAAACCCTCACTGGCATGGCCCCTGACTGAGAAGGAGACAGACATTCCCCTTGCACACCAGAGCCTACGGGGGCCCCAACTAATAGATTGTGTGTGCTCCAGTTCTGCGGTGAGGCAGCATGGGGGTGGAGCACGAAGCGCAGGCTCCCCAATGCTGGGACAGGGCCTTGAGGCTTCGGGGCCAGAACCAGGCAAGCTGGGGGCCACATCTGGCCCCTGAGCTGGAGGTTCTCACCCCTTCCCTAGTCTCACCCCTCTACTCTTCCTCCCAGCCTCCTTGCTCAACCATTCCCACTTCACCCCTAAAATCCTGCGTCCTCATCAGAACTGTCTCCTCTCCCCTCAACCCCGCTGGTTCTCAATCTCTTTTTTCCAGGTAGTCCTAGTCTCCTTCCACCTCCTCATTTGATCCCAGTCTCCCCTCACCTACTGGCTCCTAGTACCCCCACCACATCCCCCAGTGCACATTCAGTTTCCCTTCTTGGCTCATAGTTTCTTTGCCCAGGCAATTCCAATGTTCCCCTCCTCCCTCCCATTGCCAGTGTTCAGGTCTTCTCCTCTCCCCCTCCCCACCTCCCAATGTGCTCCCTGTTCCAATCTATTCACTCTTCTTGCACATGCACACACCCCTCCCAAGTCTAGCTCTTTCCCCTCTGCATTTGAATCTCCAGGTTCCCCGGGCCCAGCAGAAAGAGCATTAAGGGCACAGGAGAGAGTCTTCCTGCCTGAATATAGCAGCCCAAAACTGCAATAGCAGGGAAAGTCCTGCCCATCTCTGGGCTGGAGCGTGGGCGGAGGGACTCTGGAGTTTAGCTGCTAAAATAGAGTCTGTTGAGCATGTGCAAACTAACTTTCTTTTTTAAAAAAAAGCTTTGATTTGTCTATTTTGGGGCAGGTTTTCAAAAGAGCAGCAAAAAACCATATCCCTGGCCCAAAGGCCGCTTCCCTGCCAGACTTAAGTCCCCGCTCCAAAGCGTGGAGACATTTTCAAATAAAACCTAGCTGGAAACTTTAACCGGTACAAAAGGTGTTTTTTCCTAGCCCTGCTCTCAGAAACAGCTGAATTTTTCTGGCTCAAATTTAACACACAAACCAAAACATTCAGAATTGTTGCAGGCACTCAGTATGGAAAACCACATGCTAAAATTTGACGAAGTTATAAACTGGAAAAAGGGCTTTATGATGCAAAATTTGGGGTAACCTTAACAGTAGGTCATAGTCCCAGCCCCACTTCTCATTATTTTGGGGGTTGAAAGGATTGGTGGGGGTGTAATTTTTGCACTCCATCCCACTTCTGTTGTGATTTCTCCCACTCTTTAGGGGAGGGTATAGTTCACTTTTACATACAGATGATATAGTGCATGCTAACAGACCTCAGTGACAAACTTATTGATAACCTATTGATCTGAATAACATTATCTCAAATTGTAGGGTAGTTTATTTTAAATCTCTCACGTTTCAGCTGAAAGGAAATCAGCCCTTAAACTGAACATTCTGTTGTGATTTCTCCCACTCTTTAGGGGAGGGTATAGTTCACTTTTACATACAGATGATATAGTGCATGCTAACAGACCTCAGTGACAAACTTATTGATAACCTATTGATCTGAATAACATTATCTCAAATTGTAGGGTAGTTTATTTTAAATCTCTCACGTTTCAGCTGAAAGGAAATCAGCCCTTAAACTGAACAGACATGGACGCATTGAGGGTCGTCTAGGCATTTACCTCACAATAGATTGCCCCTCAGCCAGAATGTTCCTTATGCCTCCCAGTAAGGGAAGAGAATCCTAAGCTACATCTCTTGTCTGTGGCTATGAGCTCTGCCTCTGTTGGGACCACAGATTCTTGAGAATTACCATGAGATACACTATGAGAGCTGTACGCATTGTCCTTCCGTACCTGATGTTCCAAAAGCAGAAGAGACCGTAGTGATCATCTAGTCTGTCCTCCTGCATGACGTAAGCCAGAAAATTTCCCCCAAATAATTCCTAGAGCAGATCTTTTAGAAAAACATCCAATCTTGATTTAACAATTGCCTGTGATGAAGAATCCACCATGACTTTGGCAACGTGGTAAGTTGCTCCACTAGTTAAGGCATAAACTTTTAGCAGAGTAATTATTTCCGGTGTGAATTTCTCTCTCTTTAATTTCCAGCCTTTGGATAGCGAATTACCTTTGTCTGCTAAATAGTGGAGCTCCTTATTAAATACTAGTTCCCCATGGAAATACAAATTAATATCAAGGTATCCTTTAACCCTCTCTTGAAGCGAAATGGTTCACAATATTCAAGCCTATCACCTAAGGCTGGTTTTCCAATGCTTTCATCCAGATGTGGAGAACCGTTTTTGGATGGGGGCCGGTGACCCGCGGAAGAATCAGTCCGGGGCTGCACCCAAGTGAGAAGCAAAACAAAACCAAAATCCCTCACTGACGTGGCCCCTGGCTGATTGTGAAAGACACTCCCACATTCCCCTCCCACACCAGAACGTAGGGGAGCCTAGCTTAGTAGTTCTTGTGTGCTCCAGCCCCATGGTGGAGCAGTGGAGCGCCATCATGGGCTTCCCAATGCTGAGGGCAGGGCCCTGAGCCTCAGGGGCTGGAAGCCTGCGTTTCCCCCACCCCAACCCACCCCTTTTTCTCGGATGGAAGGTCACTTGGGACATTCCTCCCCTGCTGCGTCTAGCGGGGGGGGGGGGGGGGGGGGGGGGGGTTAAAGTGCCGGTACTCCAGGGAAAAAGTTGAGCTCTGACTGGAGGTGCCGGTACTGCATACCAGGCAGGCAGTACCATCACAAAAAAAGCACTGGTAAAGTACAACTGAGTTCTCTTCAAAAGCTGCTATGAGCATATCAGCCCAAAGCTGAGACTTCAGCGCTGGGCAACAGCATAAGAACCTAGCTAGATAAATGGATTGATCTTGTTTTTTATAGATCTCTTTCTCCCTGATGAGATTTCAAAGTGATTGAGACACTCATCAGCGAGGAGCAACAGAAACAGAGGCAGGTGAGGTGATGTTCCATTTGTATTGCCATACGGTCTGGGCATAGCACGCTGCTGTTTTAGGTTCTGTTCAAATACAGCGCAAAGAGAGGGTCCTTACCCTAGAGAGCTTACAATCTGAGTACAAGACATGAGTCAGCAGGCTGATACCAAGAGACAGATGGAGGAATATAAGGCAACAGTGAGACATTGGTGTGATAAATAGTGGTCTCTCATCAGCACCATTCTCAAAGGCCCAGAGAGAACAATTTGTGAGGTGAACTACACACTGGTAAGTGGACAGAAGTTAAAATGAGCATTCATACATATGCTTCCTCAGTATAAGAACAAGGGGACAATGACAGTGAAAGGCAGCTAATTGCATAGAAGTTTTCTTGTTCAGTATATAATTAACCTATGGAACTACATACAGCTACAAGATACAGTTGAGGCCGAGAGGTTAGTAGAATTAAAAAGAGAAAAGGCTTATGCACTTACACTGTACTGTGGATATTCTCAGTAAATAGGCCAAAAATATTGTGAGTGGATTTAAAGCGAGAAGATAACCCAGCCAACTACTGCTGGTGTTAGGAGGAAACTTTCCTTGTGAGCTGACCCTAAGGTAATTCTGCATTGTGGAATGACTTGTACTTTCATTTTGCTAATACAATACTCATCATTGCTAGAAATGGGTTGTTGGACTGGATGGGCAAAAAGTTCCATGAGCTCTTTAATAATCAGGAATAGACTAACGGACAGAGAGGTCTACATCTCAAGAGATGGTATTTCCGGCAGCAAGCCTGACACTGGTATAGATCACAGACCTGATGCTTTAAAAATAAATAGAGACTTTAAAATGCCTCTGTTACCTTTTGTGAAATTGACATTTATTACGTGTGAGCATGCAATCCAGCAGGCATTGGTAAGGTAAGCTTCAAACTCACTCTTTTGTGGATGGATTGAGATTTTGTTTTTTAATGTTGAATTTGTACTTTAGAGTCAGTGCCACCATTTATCTGTGTTCTGACATCTATACTTAATGGCTACGTCTACATTGGCCCCTTCTCCGGAAGAGGCATGTTAATTTCCAACTTCAGAATAGGGAAATCCGCGGGGGATTTAAATATTCCCTGTGGGATTTAAATAAACACGGCCGCCGCTTTTTTTCCGGCTTTATTCCGGAGGATCGCGCCAGTCTAGACGCTTTTTTCCGGCTTTTCCCCAAAAGAGTTGACTTGGTCAGTGCTCAGAATTTCGTCTATCTCCCGAAAGTTCCCAGGGCTCTATTGGATAACAGAGAGCAGCTATTATATAATTATTATTTTTTTTTTTTTTTTTGCATTCAACAGTAACCATCATCTGATGATTTCAAAGTGTCTAGAAACATTTATCCTTGCAACAACACAGTATCCTATTCCTTAATTGTTACAGTAACAGCTAGGTTCATTGGTGAGTTTTCAGGTCCTATTGTGCTAGACTTTTTACTGCTCTCCTTCCCCCCACCCCCCGCTTGCTTACAACCTGAGTAGACAAGATAGACACACAATTGAAGAAAAAACAAGGACAAGGATGTGAAATAATTTGCCCAAGGTCTTTCAGCAAATAAATGGAAGAGACAAGAATAATGAGAACTTTTAATAAAAATACTCCTTCCTTAGGCTGCCTTCTCAGATAGCTTTCTCCTTTGAATCATGAATGATTTTTATTTTATTTTGCATCTTAGCCCAAAATCTCCAGGACATGCTCACTTGGATTTCTCTTGAGTTGCTGTAAGCCTCACTCACTTGAAGTTGAACTTCATTTTGTGAGCCCTCAGACTTGCGACTCACCTGTGATTCAGGGACTGTTGGCACAAGAATCTCCTATCTTCCTCTGTTCACTAACCTTCACATTTTGCTTGTAGTTTTACCAGTTGCTTCTGATGCGTGGAAGTTGAGCCCTCAAACTGCAAAGATGGTGATAAACGTCTGCCTCCCACAGTTCAAGCCAAGAATTCACTGCAACAAGGTAAAATAAAAATGCATTGTGATTTCTGCGGCTGAAGTCACAGAGGGTTGGCGCTGGTATCCTTTGGCTAGGTGGAGGGAATAAACTGTTCTTGTCTCTGCTGACCAGAGTAGACAAAGGATCACGCTCTCATTACATTGTGTCCGAGATAATGTAGCAATATTTGCCTAACGCAACCAGTTTTACTCTCCAGGCTCTGTGGTGAAATCTCCCAGGAAACACCTGAGCAGTGTCTCCTGGAGTTATTCAGTGTAATGTGTAGAGAGGTGCTCTTGTAACATCACATGGGGGGCATGGTCAGGTAGGTTACAGCAAAGCATAACGGTAATTTTCAGTTTTGCAATACTGGACGGAATTGCTGGTGGGAGTTGTACAAAATGTATGTTTAATTTAGACATTGATCTTCAAAGCTAATCAATCTTTTTGCAAAGAATTGGGGCAGTGTGATATAATGGTGAGTTAGGACTCCTGGGTTCTTTTTCTGCACCTGCAGTTCCTATTGACTTGGTTTGGAGTTGTGGGTGCTCATCTCTACTAAACATCAGCATCAAGGTATTTCAGGTTGGGCTCTTCCCCCACCCCTCTGGTAGGGTGTCACTCTGAATAATTGCCCTTTATCTTTTCTCTGCTTCAGTTAACCTCTCTGTAAGATAGGTGTTATAATATGGTGGGGTAGTTCTGAAGGTTAATTAGTTCTGAAATCCTCAGATGAATGGTGGTTATACTTGCAAAGTAGGGATGTGAACGACTAGCTGACTAGTCAACTATCTAAAAAGCAAATGCTTATCAGATAGTCGACATGCTAGTCTACTCGTCACTTTCCCCTTCCTCCCTCCCTTGCTGCCTCTACCAGAAAGAGGCAGCAAGGCGGGGAAGAGGAGGGGGTGCTTCAAAGCGACAGCGCCATGTGGAGCTGCTGCTTTGAAATGCCGCATGCAGCCCAGGGCCTGCTTGGGTGTCCCCAGGCTGCATGTGGCGTTTCAAAGCAACAGTGCCACATGGAGCCTAGGGTCAGCTGGGGACTCTCCTGATGATCCCAGGCTCCATGTTGCACTGCTGCTTTGATCCCCAGCTGACCCTAGGCTCCATGTGACGTTGCCACTTTGAAACACCACGGAGAGCCCAGAGCCAGCCGGGGACTGCTTGAGTCCCCTGCTGGCCCTGTGCTCCTCCTCAGCACTTTCGCCTTTGAAGCAGAGGTGCCCTCATCAACTACTCAAAATTTTACATCCCTATTGCAAAGTCTCATGTTATAGTAAAAACTGGGTGTTCAGGTGCTTACATAGTATTTTAATATGAGATACTTTCTTCTCCTTGCCACCCCAAATTCCCCGTGACCGTAAAATGTGAAACTTCCCCATTTTTCTCTCGAAGGTGTCAAGCTATTTATAACCTAGGGTTGATTTTTTTTCCATGTGTGATTCTTGGGGTCCTGGGAATCCTTAGAGATTACCTAGTTCTTAATTCAAAGCCTGTTTTGAATAGCAAGCTCCCCCTTTCTTAACTGCATCTCAAAAATAATAAAGCACCTGGCTTTTGTCCTGTGAAAAGGCAACATGGATTTACACAGTATTTTAAACCCTTCCCAGCTGAAGCTGACTACATTGCTGGTCTCCATAAGCAGGGTAGCTCCAAAGAAGTGGAATTGCCTGCTACAGCAGTGCTGAATTTAGTCTCTGCTCTGTATTTTAGTCTGGAATGAATTTATGGCAAAATCCTTTTAAAGGAAATCTTTTCAATTCAGTTCTCATTTCCCTTCAACTAAAGGGATGCTGTCATTATTGGTAAATGTTTCTAACATCTTGAGAAACACTGTTGTATCAAATGGATTTGGAGAGCACAGCCCAGCTAGAATAACAACTCAGGAACCCACGTGCTCTGGGGAGTCAAATCAAGGGAACACAGTTCATCCTTCAAGTGTTGTTGTCCACAGTTGGTCGTGTTTTGCCTCACTTACGTTTTGTCTCACGAATGCTGTAAAAGTGGTTGCAAACTCACATTTCTTCTTTGGGTCAAATCAAGCCCAGTATCCTCTTTTCTCTTTAAACACAGATTTCCGCGGATGGGTACGAAGTTGAGAACCTCATCTGTGACGACCTTGCAAAGAGAAACCGTGGCTTTCGCAGTGAATATTTCATCAAGCCCCCGGTCCACATTACTCTGTCCTTTCCCTTCAACCTAGAAATCTGCAGGATTAACATAGACATTTCATCAGGCGGGTATCAGAATTTCACAGGGCTGGACATTTACACGTCTACCTCATTGAACAAAAGTTCTTGGAACAACCCCGAGTCTCAGTTCTCGGTTCTGACTGGTCAGCCTGTGTCAGACAAAGACGTTTTCACGCTCGTGGGCAAAGCCGTTCTAAAAAATCAAAGCAAAGTGACGTTCAGCCACAGGGGCTTCAAACCAAGGCCTCCTTTCCATCAGATGGAAGCGGCCTTCTACCCTGGGTCTGCCTCTCAAGACCTATGGAATAAAGGCCCTGCCTCACTAAGCAATGTATCGCACTTAAAAATTTGCATCTCCCACGTGGCGGGAGGTGGCCTCCCTTGCATTAAAAGACTGGAGGTCTGGGGGCAGCCAGCCAAGTCGTGCCCACAAGAAGTAGTGGACAGTGTGTTCCACGTGGCCGCCGAGTGCCTGGCTCAGAGCTTGGGCATCCAAAGCGCCGGTTTCACGTTGCCCATGGAAAGCGAGTGTGTTCCCTTAGGCAACTCCGACAACGAGCAGCCGAGTCTCCAGAAGCTGGTTGAAGTGGTCCAGGATATCCCTGAAGAGTTCTTGGACCCTATCACTCTGGAGATTATGCCCTTCCCGATGTTGCTGCCCTCCGGCAAGGTGATCGACCAGAGCACCCTGGAGAAGTGCAACCGGAGCGAGGCTTCCTGGGGTCGGGTACCCAGTGATCCGTTCACTGGCGTTGCCTTTAGCCAGCACTCCCAGCCCCTTCCACACCCCTCGCTAAAGGCACGAATAGACCACTTCCTATTGCAGCACAGCATCCCGGGCACCAACCTCCTCGGGAGGGCGCAGGCCTCAGGGGTGCTCACACCTTCTTCCATAACCATGTCCTCTCTGAAAAGGAAACTGGACTGCATGGAGCAAAGCCCTGAGCACAGCAACCGCGTAGAACCCTCCTATTTTTCTACCACAAACTTTCTAGCTCTGTCTACCTCAGAAAGCAGTGCTAAAAAAGTGAAAACTGAGAGCGACTTCCATTTGGCTCAAATGGACTGCTCGACAGGTATCTCGCCTCCCTCAGTTTCAGTGTTTCTTCGCCTCCCTGTTCACCCAGGGCTAGAATTGCACACACGCCATCCCAAATGTGCATTCCCGTAACCCTCACATCTACTGATTCTCACGCCAAAAGCTGGTGGCGCTTTTTGAGGCTATTGTCTCTTACTCCTGCCACACATTGTAGGAATGGTTTTAGCCTGCCATTCGTGTCTGGTTTTCCCCTTTCTTCTATCAGTATGTTTTTCCTCTCATAGCCATACTTTACAGCTGCTTTGTTTTCAGTCCCTGACCTCCTTGTTTTGCCTCTTTCAATCTACGCCACCCATTTTATTTACCCATGATTGGTTCAGAACGCTTAATTTTTCCATGAGCTTTTATTTCCTTCATCCCCACACTTTCGGTTCATCGACGGATTTTGCTGTGCTGGAAAATCATCCATCTTGCAGCCTATCCAAAAAAAGATCATGGCGCTTTTACTAGCCCAGGGTCACAGTCTGCTGGCCCATCATCCCTATAATGGGGGGGAAACCCTCAAATACCTTCTCTGCACCTAGTGAAGTGGTTAGTAGAATCGTGTGTGGGCAGCTTCCATAGGTCACTGCAGTTGCACATGTGCTTTTATTGACCCTGTTGCTTTATGTTCCTCACGATTCTTCCCCCAAGTGGCATTTGCTCAACACAGCACAATGCGCGAAGCACTTGTCACATCCCAGTCAGTGACACTAAAGACTAGTGTCGATAGACACCTCTGCCAAGGGAGCGCAGAGCCGATGGCTAGCAGAAAGAGTACGCGGTGTGTTGGTCCAATCAGAGTGTAGGGCTAGAGGCCAAGGGACAGTTCTTGAAAGCCTGGAGGGGGAAGGTTCTACACGTGGGCTGTAGGAACTTAAAGCAGAGAGGGCATTTCCAAAGGAGACGCCTTTACTGTGGCTAAAAATGGGCTGTACCAAGTATCCAGAGGGAAGCACTTTGACACTGGAACCTCCCCTCGCCCCTCGGTATTGTCTGCTTTTGTAGCATGGGTTAGGAAAATGTTTGTGAAGAGAGCCACAGGATGGGAGCACCTCTTTGTGAATCCTTTGCCAATTGTCATGTCACTATGAGCCCAGTCTTGTACCCTTCGGTCGGAGAGCAGTCCCAGTGACCAGCCACGACTTTAACACACAGTTCAGCTCCCTTCTGTGCTACAACCTGCCACTGTCAAGCCCATCAGGAGGGAGGTAGGCGTGTTGTAAGCGGGATCTCTGGCTGGGGTGTATTTGCTTTAATGTAGTCAGCCTCCTGGGCTTTCTGTAAATGTAAAGTTGGGCATGGCTTGCTGGACAGCTATAGCGGCGATGGTGGGTTAATAGCACTCTTAAGCTTTTTGACTACTGTGCCAAGACAAATGCCTCTGCCTCTCCAGAATAAGAACTACTGTTCCTGCTCTTCTGTTCTGTAATAAATAATAATACATTCTCTCTCTGTCTCTGACGAGCAGCTTAGCACAAGGGGATTGTAGTTCTGCTGGCTCCAGCCATGTTTGGTTATGCAAAGAATTAATTTTTCTTGGCATACTTATTTCCTTCCTTGTTTGTGCAGAAATAGCTCAAATGTATTGACCCTACGCTCGCTCTGGCTTTGCTCCAGAATACCTGTAGCCCTCTCAAGGCGTACACCCCCCATTACTTACGAATTGTGTGCCATAATTGTAGTTACTGAGGGTATGTCTACACTTGCACCGTCTTTCGAGAGAGGGATGCAAATGAAGACGTTCAAAATTGCAAATGAAGCCGGGATTTAAATATCCTGTGCTTCATTTGCATATTTGCGTTAGCGCTATTTTGAAATAAGATGCTGTTAAGAAGCAGTTATTTCAAGAGAAAACCCTTCTCTTGAAATAACTGGTAAACCTCATTGTATGAGGAATAAGGGTTTTTTCGAGAGGAGGGTTTTCTCTCAAAATAACTGCTTATTAACAGTATCTGTTATTTCAAAATAGCGCTATTTCTAAATAGCACCATAACGCAAATATGCAAATGAAGCGCAGGATATTTAAATCCTGGCTTAATTTGCAATTTCAAATGTCTTCATTTGCATCCCTCTTGCAAAACAGGGTGCAAGTGTAGACCTACCCTGAGGGATTAAATAGTGTGGCAGAGCAGGAGAAGTAAATGACATTGAATAACAAAGGGAGAAGAGAATACACGGATCGGGGAGATCTGAAGAGCAGTAGAGAGTTACCGAGGCAGTGACGTTTAGGGAGTCTGGCCCACATACAGTAATGTTGGCACACCGCATGCAGCAGTCACACACAGAAGAATGGTCTCCCTGAACAGACGAGTTAGATTTTCTTTAATATGTTCTGCAAAGGCTTCCAGAGCAGGTACATGAATATGTCAAAGGTGTGGCAATGCCATGCACTTCAGATCTGAACTCTCCCACTCCTGGTCTACACTAGACCAGGCAGGTTGGCTTAAGGTACGCCATCCGGCTACGCAAAATGCGTAGCTGGAATCGGCTTACTTTAAGCCAAGCCACTGCAGTGTCTACACTGTGGGAGGCCGACAGGAGCCCACGCTTCTGTCGGCTTTCCTTATTCCTCGCAGAATGAGGAGTACCGGATGTCTGGCGGGAGCTGCCTTCAGCATTCTATTTGGGGGTCTCCACTAGAGCCGCTAAATCGAATGCTAGAATATCGACCTCTGGAGGGTCAATCTCTGTTGTGTAGACGTGCCCCCAGAGTGTGGGCTTGTTGATTCAGGGCAGTCTTCAGAGAACGTGATGATTTATTTTGTATTACAGTAGCACTTAGAGGCCTCTATTGAGATCAGGTCCCCGTTGTTGTAGGTACTATATACGCACAGTTATCTTCAAGATCTTATTCCCGCATTTGTTGTGCTTCTGTAGCCTTCGTCTCTGTATCTGATCACCCCTGGGAGATTTGTGAAACTGAATTGCTGCAGCAGCTGCAGACCATTCTCGCAGTATAAATACCAGTCTACCTGTATGAAACAAAATACAGGACTATGTAGCACTTTAAAGACTAACAAGATGGTTTATTAGATGATGAGCTTTCGTAGGCCAGACCCACTTCCTCAGATCAAATAGTGGAAGAAAATAGTCACAACCATATATACCAAAGGATACAATTTTTTAAAAAAAGTGAACACCTATGAAAAGGACAAATCACATTTCAGAACAGAAGGCGGATGCGGGGGGAGGAGGGTCAGGGGAAAGGTAAGTGTCTGTGAGCTAATGGTATTAGAGGTGATAATTGGGGAAGCTATCTTTGTAATGGGTAAGGTAGATGGGGTCTTTGTTGAGACCGACACGTAGAGTGTCGAATTTTAGCATGAATGACAGTTCAGAGGATTCCCTTTTGAGTGCAGATTTAAAATGCTTTTGAAGCAGGATGCATGTAATTAAGTCGTTGAGACAGTGTCCTTTCTGGTTGAAATGGCAAGAAACTTTTTTCTTTGTGAACCTGTCTAATATCTGTTTTGTGGGCATTGATCCTTTGGC